GTAAGCAGGCGCACAGAGGCTGGCCCCACCCCAAGACCCTGTGTGGGTATTGCCAGGGTCTCTGTGCTCGGTCCCTCGGTGTGCAGCTCTGGAGAAGGTAGTCTGGGGGCCACATGGCCAGGACAGCACTGTGACAGCTGCTTGTTGCCAAGGCCGGTGGGCAGGGCTGCCCTCCTTGGTGAGACAGCAAGTACGGTGCTTTTATTTTACATTTTTGAATAGATAATTTAAAAATGTAATTGAGTTGTAATTCTACAACTCAAGAATGACAATGATGCCTTTGTGCTATGGCCCTCAGGTGCCACCCAGCACCTTGGGGCGGTTGATGTAGGAGGACTGCCACAAGTGGAGGCCAGCCTGGGCTCACAGGGAGCTCAGGGCAGCCTGAGCTATGTCTCAAAAAAGAAAAACAAACACATTTTAAAAAACAGACAATTGGGGCCAGGGATGGCTCAGTGGAATAAGCGCTTCCCGGCAAGTGCAAGGGCCTGAGTTCAATCCTCGGTTCCCGAAAGCAAACCTCCCACCCCCCAAAAAAACAAAAACAAAAACAAAAAAACACCCAGATAATAAGTGACAGAGAAGAATGAGTCAGGAAGTTTACTCCCACTCCCCCAGCACCCTTTAGAGTATACTGTCCCTACTTTTCCCATGCAAATTCAAACAAATAACGACATACATTTTTCCATCTCATGCTGATTTTTTCCCCCGCTGTGGACTGGACTCGGGGGGGGGGTCTTCCTGAGTCACTTGTTCTGGGCTCCAGCTTGGACCCATTTCTTGGGATCGCCATGGGCTGCCGTGGAGTGGGTCATCCCTTCCCTTGTTACGTGGGAGGTGATGTGGTATATGTGCTTCTTGACACCATTTCTTTTTGTCTTTGTGAGACAGGGTCTCACTATGCAATTCAGGCTGGTCTTGAGCTCACTTTGTAGCTCTGGTCTTGAACTCACAACGATCCTGATGCTCCTGCCTCAGCCTCCCCAGTGCTGGGATGATAGGAGTGTACCACCATGCCTGCGCCTGCGCCACATTTTGTCTCAGTGCCCACCCTACACTTTTTTTTTTTGGGTGGTGCCATGAATTGAACTCAGGACCTTATGTTTACCAGGCTGGCGCTGTGCTGCTGAGCTATACCCTTAGCTACATTTCTTTTTGCCTTTCTTGGGAAGCAAAACCTTTTTTTTTTTTTTCGGAACTGGGGGTTGAACTCAGGCCCTTGTGCTTGCCAGGGAAGCACTTATTCCACTGACCCATCTCCCCAGCCCCAAGACCTTTTACCTTTTAATCTTTTAAAAAACAGTTGTGTAGTTTTCCATTGTGGATTATGTCATCGTTTGTCCAGCTTTTCACCATCCAGTGTAATAGCCACCTATGGCCATTAAAATTAAAATTAAAATTTAAGGTTCGTTTCATCACTTCTACTGGCAACATCTGTGTGTGTGTGTGTGTGCGTGCGTGTGTGTGCGTGTCTGTGTGTAAGTGAATTGGGGATTGAACCTAGAGCCTTCACACTACTACATTTCAGTCTTTTTTTAAAATCTCAAACAGTGTCTCTCTAAATTATCCAGGCTAGGATTAAATTTGCAGTCTTCCTGCTTCAGTCTCCCAGGGTGCTGGGATTACATGTGTGTAGCCCCCCTGCCCAGCTACTGTTAGCATTTTGGATACTGAGTAGCTATGGATGGCCAGTGCCACCACATCTCACTACAAAGAGAGCACATTGCCACCACTGATGCACCAGGGCCTCAGGTTGATTTTTCTGCCTTGGTCATTTTAGGGATGATAAAGCCCATTGTGGCCGAGCTGAATAGGGAGATCCTGTCTCAAAACAATGACTACATCAACAGCCACGGCAAACCCAGGTGCAGAGGCAGGACTGTAGACCCAGAATTCTGGGACTTGCTCTGTTCCTGCTGCCAAGGCTGTGGGGCTTGGCACTGTCCTCTGGTCCTGCTTAGCCCTGGTCAGGACCTTGACCTGCCCCAGCTCTGCCTCAGAGCACCCTTCACTGGCATTCAGTTAGCAAATATTTTTCAATTTTCCTCAGTCCTGGCGGTTGAATCCAGGGCCTTAGCACCAAGCCACATCCATGGCTTTTAAAAATGGTTTGAGACAGCATCACTAAATTGCCCAGGCTGGGCTTGAGCCTGTGACCCTGCTAACCATCCCCAAGAACAGTGAGTCCTTCTTGACACCAAGCTGGGCACACAGAGGTGGAAGGACACAGCCCAAGCCCTACCTCGGAGAGACCCACAGCACCCAGAAAGGCTGGACCCCATCAGCAGGACCTGTCACTCCCAGGGAACAGGAACCTCATCCACTGCTGGGACTGCACACTGCAGATGTTCAGAGGGCAGTTATGTGAAGGTCAGAACGTAAAATCATTTCACCTTTGGCCTGGCAGTATCATGTTTGTAAGACGTACGCAGAAGTGGATAAATCCACCTCCTGAGATACTTCTTGTAGGGAGCGTGGTTTGTAGTAACAAAGGCTGACACAACCTAAATGCCCACCAGGAGGGGAACAAAGAAGTGAGTGATGACACTCGGTTATGGCAGACAGGGCAGAAAGCGAGGGCCCAAGGTGTCATCCTGGGCACCCTGCCTGCTTGCACCCAGGACATCTACAGAGAGGTATACTGGCGCTGCTGCCTCTATTCATTGATTTTATTTATACTTTGCTAGTGCTGGCGGTTGAATCCAGGGAGTACATCTTCAGCTCTTTTCATTTTGAGTTGGAGCCTTGCTAAGTGACCCATCTGGCCTCAAGCTTGCTGGCTTCTGCTTCAGCCTCTCAAGTAGCTGAGAGCATAAGAATGTGCTCCACCACCAGCACTGCTCTCTTCTCCTTCCCTCTTTATCTCTTTCCAGGGTTGTGCCCAAGACCTTCCCACTGAGCTACAGCTCCAGTCCTTTAAAGAATGTTTTTATTTTGGGACAAGGTCTCCCTAAGTTGCCCAGACTGGACTTGGGATCCTCCTGCCTTAGCCTCCCAGAGAACTAGGATGACAGGTGCGTGCTACCCAGGGCCCTTTTTCATTTTTTTATGGACATCTACTGAGTAATGGTGAGGGGAGGAGGTGAAGGAGACTCCTGGGGAAGCCTGCTCAGTGCAGTCCTTTCCTCGGAGGCGAGGTGACAAACGGACAACAGCGAAGAACGTCACCCTGCTGACGCCATCCTCACTGCAAGCCAGGTCGGTCTTGGGTGTCGTGCCGCGTGTTTCCATAAGAGGGCAGCACAAACCGGAGCATCGGTCCCAGCCTGGGCACCGGCCGCCTCCCAGGATCCCGAGGCCAGAGGACGAGGGCCGGTCTTCGGGTCGGCCTAATTTAACAGACACAACCCAATGCGTCGTTTTTGCAACCCAAAGTGGCCGGCGCTGGGCTTGCTGGCGCGGAGGGGTCAGACTCGCCAGTCTCCTATCCGCCGGGCTTCGGGCGGGGGGCGTTGGCAGCCTGAGGCCCCCGGGTGGAGGACGCAGCGGGCAGCGACGGCGCTTGGTCGCGTGCTCCGGCCTCGCCTTTCCCCGGCGAGGCGGCTCCCGCTGCTTCTCGGAGCGCCGAGCACGGGACGACCTCTTCGGCACTGCTACCGGATCGAGATCCAGCCACGGGGACTCAGCGACTCAATTTCTAAAATAAAATACTGAAAAGAGATCTGAGCTAAGCTCAAGAGAGTTCTCCGTTCCAACAGGCCAAGCACAGTGCTGCCGGGACCCCAGCCCGATCCCCGCTGGGCAGCAGGACCGGACCCATCTCTGCTCCGCGGGTGCGGCGGCCTGGTCGGGAGAGAGGCGGGCCGGCGCCCGCCAACCCGCGATTCCCAGCTCAGGCTTAAATCAAGCGGGAGACCCTGAGCTCCGGCACCCGGACGCCGCGGGCAGGAGAGCGCCCGGGGCTCAGGGTTTCCCGCGCCTTGGGGTATAGACTGGGGAAAGCCGGGGTCCCCGCAGATGAGACGTGGAGACCAGCAGAGCCTCACACCCAGGGCCGAGGTGGACCCCGGTGGTCCCCCGGCCTCCGCGCCGGGCCGCGTCCCCCAAGAGCGGCAAGGGCACACCTGCTTTCCCCTCGTCGCCCGCGCAAACGGCGGAGGTAGTCGTGCTCCCGGCTGGGGGCGCCCTTGGGGTCGCCTGGCCGCAGCACGGAGCCCCCCACCTGCCTCGGCTGCGGCAGCCAGTTTCCCCCGGGCCCTCGCCCCTCGTCTTCCTGGCGGTCCCCCTCTCCAGGGCACTGGCGCGCGGGTCTCGCTGGCCGCTCCTGCCGCACCCAGGGGCTCCGTCTGCAGATGGCGCCTTGGAGGCCAGAAGTGCGCTGGGGCCGGAAGGGGGTCCTCTTCTTGCCGGGTACGCCGCGCTTGCGAGTGTGGGCGCTTCCGCTCCGAGGTCCCCGCCCGCTCCCGGCTTCAGAGGGGTGCGGTTCTGGGAGCCGGGGGCCGGAGCGTGGCTGCGTCTCGGCCTCGTGGGGTCGCCTTGCCTGCCGCAGGTGCAGCAGCCAGGCCCGCACCGCCTCCTGCTCCCGGCGCCATGGCCGCGGGGACCCCCGCCCCTCTCCACGCTCCGCTACCCGCGTCCTGCACTCCGCATCCCAGGCACCGTGGCTGGCATCCTCAGGGCCGGCGTCCCCTTAAGCACCGCTGCCTGGTGCCCACTGCATCCCGCCCCGCCCCTGCACCCCGCAACATGCACCCCTCCCCCACCTGCACCCCTCCCCCATCTGCACCCCTCCCCCACCTGCACCCCGCAACCTGCTCCCCTGCCGGGTCCCCTGCCCCGCCCCCGCAAGCCCCGCCCGCCCGCGCGCCCCGGCGGCCGCTGAAGTTGTGC